CGGTAGTTGTCGTCATAGAAGGTTGCAAGTTTTTCGGGTCGAATAATATCCTCGATATGTTTCCCATATAATTGTTTTACTTCACTATTTACAAATTGCTGTCTAAAAATAAGTAAACAGAGGGAGCACGGACCTGATTGCGGAGCAGGCAATTCAGGGGCTTCCACTCCTGGAATGTCGTGTTGGTCTATTACTTGCATTTCAATATGTTCTCCTATGGGGAAGAAAATGAAAGAAAAAAAAAAGGATTACTAACAACTTTTCCATCTTTTCTTTTCTTTACATTACACAAAAAAATTCCCAGGTAGAGAGGAGATATTTTATGTATAATTACGTCAAGAAGAACTATATTTTTACCCTCTTCGTTGATAGCATGTGCATCTTCATTTCCAATCTGTCTCTGCTGGACATTTTCTGCTTCATCTATGTTATAAAACAAAAGAAAACAAAAAAAAAAAACAGAGAATAAGTCAATGTCAGACTTTTCCAAACATTTATTACATAAAAATCATTCCGCTACAAGTTAGGTTTGTATTAATCTTCTTACCTTGAATTTGAAGACAGAGGTTGATTCTTTCATACTTTAATAATTATTTAATAATATTATTTACAAATTTCCGCTCACATTCTTATTCAAAAGGGTTCGGCGAATAGCTTCAATTTTCTTCAACATTCTTAATACATGGCTTTGAAGATACTAACCTCCACAAATCGAACTGAAATAATGATTTCTTATTGGGTCGTCCCCCATTAAACTTTCTTTGCCCCCATTTCTGATTGCTTTTCGTACGCCTCAGGTGTAAAAAATTTAGAACAAACTATTGAAAGGAAACTTGTTTGTCATTACAAAATTTGTTAAACCTTGAAGTTTTTTTATTTCGAGATGGGAAGCACCATCATTGTTGTCAAATTTGCTATTTTAATATTGGAAAACTGTACCTTCTTGATTTTGTCCTCTGCAGAAAATAGATTGAACATTGGACCACAACTTCCTCAGTTTAGGTTTCAATATAGCTTGCACCTGTACATTTGAAATTTACGGAGAAGTTTGTGTAAGACTTTCGAATAATCTCTTTTAAATTTAGGTAGGTCTTTATGGTCATTGTTTATTATGTCAGTCGTCACAATTACAAAATTAAGTTGCCAGCCTGCTCTGACACAAAAGCAAATTCGAATATGGCAGTCATGTCCTATTTAAAAGTGATAAAAAATAAACCTGTTACCTGTTGAGTAGAAAGTGTATCCAGCAATGGGTTGATAGCTGAATTGATCGGCAGAGCGAACACTGCAATCCACACTGCCAGATCGCCAGGTGGATCAAATGTTTTCTCGACGTGAGACTTGATGCCGATAGCGATGAGTGGTATCCAACACAGGAAATCGGTCAGAATAATGAAGAAGACTCTTTTGGCAAGTGCTCTTTCTCTTTTGGCCTGCGCACTTTGTGCTCTTACTTGTATTTCACGAACATTTCCATGTGCACCGAGCCGTCTACTTGACGACCATGATCTCAACAAGATGGCAATATAAGCCACCATAACGAAGATGAAAAGAGAAAAATTTAAAACGATAAAGATGGAAGTGGAGTATTCCCAGCCATCTTGTAATTGTGGGGAAAGTTGCAGGGGCAGGCACACTACGTTTTTGCCATAATACCAGTCACCAAAATAGCGCATCCCAGACAAGGGAAGGAATGCCATAACGCCTCCCACCAGCCAGATAACTGCGCACACTAGACGAGCCTGCCTTGGTGTGATTTTTGCAAAAGTGTATGGAAACACAATGTTCTTGAGCCTGTCCCATGCAATCAAAGAAATCATCATAACTGACACCTCACTTGAAAGGATAGACATGGCGCCATTAAAATGACAAAACCAGCCAGTGCGCCACTCGTAGTCGTGCAGGTAGTATTCCCCCGACCATTGTAGGTCTTTTATAGCTATAATGATAAGGTAAATACCCATGATGCCGTCTGAGATACCCAGATTCACCAACATGATAGACTGGACCACATTGTTATCAGGGAAAAAATACTGCCACCCAACAACAAATACGGACCCAAACAACGACAGAAGACCGACAACCCAAAGACATCTCCTTGGAGCAAGGTTACGGAAAATGGATTGACAGCTTGCGAAGTTGTCATTAAAAGAATAATCGCAATCGGCATCCTGCCTGAAAAGATCGAGGTGGCAGCACATTAGGTTGGTGTCCAAAGTCCTGGATTTGGAAAAAAAATAGAAGAAATATTTAACATTAATAACAACCTTACATGGATAGAAAACAATGGGCATTCAGTGATCCAGATACATTAAAGGTTAATGATCTGCAAACGATTAATAATTGGTGATTGATTGATAACATACACTCTTATTAAAACATGTTTTTTAGAGGGGTGATTGAAGTAATCGTTTATTATGGACCAAGTCTTACACTCTGATAATGTGCTTCAACTGCTGGGTGAAAAGTCCTTTAGGGAGCTCAGCCATCAGGTTGTAATGCATAAACCTCCAATTTTGAAAAATAATCAGAAAAACATTAAGTTGGATTATATAGAAATTAAACAAAACAATTTATTTGGCTTACTCAAAAATGTATTTGAATTGGAAGAATGAGATTCATTTATTATTGTTAAAAAAAAAAAAAACAGAAAGCACAAAGAAAAGGGAAAAAAAACCCAAGAACCCTAAATATTTCATAAGAAAGCCCAGCTTTGTAATTAATTTTATGCAACAAAGTTTACTTGCTTAGATGAAAATCTCTCATTTGCCGTACACTTACAAAAATCGCAATTCGTGGGCATAGGTGAAAGTCGTGCTGGAAACGTTTTGTATCTTATTGCCGAAGATATCTCTGAAACGAATAACATAATAACTCGCAATTAGTAAGTAGACAGGGTCTCACGATTGTCTGTTTCCTCATAAATTTACATGGT